ACCCCCCCCCCCCAACCCATAAAATGTAAACTCTTACCATGTACAGATTGAATGCCAGGATGGTTGCTGTGCTCTAAATGGACCTCGGTCAGCACAAGTCCATTGTTTTCTTTCTTAGCAAATAAGCGAAGTTTGGCCCTACAACCCATCTTGAAAGTTCTGTGGAAGTGTTGATCAGATGATATGAGATAAAAACACAATATTTCATGTAAGTAAAATTAAAATGGCATATATAGATTTAATTGTTTTCAGAGATATCAAGACGTCAAGGTGTAAGTGATCAATTAAGGTAGAAACCTGATAATGTGGATCATACATAACTGAAACAAACTGCTAACTGAAATTGACTCCAAAGGAGGGAGGTGACAGCTGAAAGTTCCGATTTGTTCCAAACCGTGAATTTAGAGATATGTGGGCATTTTGTGGCTATTCAGTTAATTCAGCCTCTCTCTTAATAACTGTTTCACCACTTTAGAACTTTCCAAAAAAATAGTTTTTCATGTATAATAATTAGTCACCACCAATTCCTCCTAAAGTCCCCTTTTTTGCTTTATCATATCAAGCGTTTCCTCTAAACCTTAAACAAACAACAAGAAAACTCCGCGGTACAAACTGCAGGAATCTTTGCTGCAGATCACAAAAATGGCCACTAAAACTAAAACCATTATTTTCGAGAAAATTTCAAACCTGCTAATAATAATATTAATTGCAAAATTATATAGGGAAAAGCGGAAAAGGGGGGGGGGGGCGCATGTCCCACCCCTGATTGATCCAAAGCATGGAAATTACTACACAATTAGGCAGAGCGATGATAGTTGGAATAGAAAACATCAAATATTTCAAAACCTATTAATTTGTGACGCATGTAGGGATAATCTGGTTTTGGCCCCAAAGAGCGCTTCTACAGAAGTGATTACTTTAGGCTGCACATGTCGATATAATGTTTGACGTATAGCAAGCCCGAGAAAATGTCAAACCCAATTGCAAAACAGATTATTGTCTACCTTGTTGGTGTAGTTACATCATGTACAGATGCTAACAACCAGCTCTAATTCTTCTCTGCAAAGTTTTAGCCACAAGCATCGCATGGGATTCGTATTCGGCAATAAAAGTAAAGACACTCCTTATAACCAAAGGTTATGTATTATCTTTGTTATAACTACTAAATTTGCTAGTACCGGTATTGCTTAGAAATCTAATGCTAGGCTTGCAAGCAATAGATAAACACAGATCTAGGTTTGCACAAAGATGGTTTGCATCAGTATCGATCTATATTCAGCATTTTTTTAAGGTTGGCTCTATTTCTCCGAACGGTCTGGAAAATAAACTTGAACTCTATTTCTCCGAATGGATTCCGTTCTCGAGATTTTTTGATAATAATTGCAAATGGAGTGGCCCATATATGTGTGTGTGTGTGTGAGTGTGCACGTGTGTATGTCTGTGCGTGTGTAGGCCTAAGGTGTGAACGCGGCGTGGAGGGATTTTTTTTGTTACATGAAGGATTTTAATTTTTGCTGGGTGACTAAATCCAAAATAGGATACTGCCAAGGTCGATCGATCCAGTCTTGTTTTCTCGCAGTACCTTTTGAAGGTATTGTCAAATGAAGTGTAGTCCGGAAACGTTTCCCCCACCACAACTGAAGTATCTGAATATTCAGACATTTAAAAATATCTAGCTCTAGAAATTGAATTTGGCGAAAAAAATGCTTCTTCTCAGTCCTCGCAGAAAGGCAGAACGAAAGATGACGCCTAAATCTCGCAAATAACCAAAAATATCGAGAACGGAAAAGTTAGGAGAAATAGAGTTTAAGTTTATTTTCCCGAACGTTCGGAGAAAGCCACTTCGTTTTTTATACTCATGGACCCATCTCACTTTCAGAATATAAAAATTCTAAAACACTTCTCATGCTCATTTTTATCTGCTTCACATGAATGTTGACTATATTATACCCAATGCAAATTATTCAATACTGGATATTTTTATACGAAATATATATATACAATAGGAGTAGTAATATTTGACTTGTTTTTAACAACATTGTCCCTGCATTTCACCATATTTTGATGTTTCGGCTATAAGGTTTGATATTTTCTTGAAAACAATAGATTTGCAAACGTTTTAATGGCCATTAAATGTGTGTTCTGAAGCAAAAAACTATGGCAGTTTAGCCCCCAAAACAGTGCATCTGATTTGCATGCGGGTCAAAAAGTAAAAATGATACATTCCTATATAGATTTATTCTAGTACTCTTGGCGTCCCAAAACCGGTGATTACCCTAATTTAAAGTCAAAATTCCTGTAAAACAGGGATACAGAATAAACATGAGAAGAGCTTTACACGATCTGTGCATGAGACGGCAGTAGAGAATAGACCTACCCAATGGTTTTCTTACTCCAACAAAGAAATCTTGGGAAATTTAACGCATCGATCCTTCACGTCTCATAAAAGGTGTTATTTTGTTGCTTTTTTGGATTTTTTTAGTGCCTTATGAACACAATTTTGGCATATTAAAAAAAAAACACATTGCAAATGGTCATTTCCAGGGGGACTGCCCTGAACACCCCCCAAGCCCTTTCTAATGAGTACGAAAGCATACATGAACAAACAAAAAAGCTAAACCAGCATGGATTGCAGCTGCGAGACGGGAGTGATTCTATAGGCAGGCGTTATTTTCACGAAATGCGGATGAAATAAAGTTCACGAAGAGACTTTTTTCCCTGAACGCTCTGGAAAATAAACTTGATTTCTATTTCTCCGAACAGTTTCCGTTCCTGAGATTTTTAGGTTATTTTCGAGATATAGGTAAAATCAGGGGGTATGTCCCCCTGAAACCCCCCCCCACTTTATTTTTATTTAGGTCAGGGGTCACTACTCTTGGAGCCAAAACCCGCGAATAACAATTGCGGAGTGGGAACAACCGAAAAAGCACCAAAAGAATCTGGGGGGTTTCAGGGGGGCATGTCCCCTGATTTCACATTGATTTGATGTTTTGGCAATTATGATGGAAAACTATTGATTTGCAAGGGTTTTGGCGATTGTGTAGATTTCCGCGTTAAATTCCGATACTAGATCTAGATATAGATCTAGTTTTATCTTCCGGGAGGATACGAGAATGTTTTATACACGGGACATCTGACAAACTCTTTTATTCATATTTACAAGAATATAGATCTAGATCTAGATCTATGTGGAAGCAACAATTTAAGGAAAACATTTTTGGCAATATTCTGTATTGGATTTCATTTTTGGATTGGATTACTCTGTATGGTAAGATCTAGGGCTTATATAGGCCGATTAAAACTAGTATCGGAATTTAACGCGGAAATCTACACAATTGCCAGGGTTTTAGTGGCCAT